ACGCGTCGATCTCAGAAGATATAAGAGCTAGAGACTTCAAATTTTTTTTTTTTTTTTAAATATCCGTATATACAGCGCGTATATCGAGTTTATCACTAAAAAACAATAGCTCATTCCGATGTTTTTTATCGATAAGAAACTTTATCGAAGATCAGTTATAAAATTACATCTTTAAAGCTACAGTCTCACAATTTAAAATGTATATTAAGATGCATTTTATACACTTTCGGTTTTTGTTAAAATTTACACACCACCCGTATATACGCCTCCTCACACTCATATTTGTAAAAGGCATACTTCAAATACTAGAGACTTGTGCTTCGGAATATACACACATTTAAACAATAAAATTACGTTCTGAAAGTTTTATTAAGATCGTACGTCTAGAAATAAAATTATTCAACAAATAAATTCTCAAATTCTCAAGCGCAGTCGCCTGTATAGGTGTGCTTGTGTTTGTTTGTATGCGTGTGTGTGTGTGTTATTATTGAAATATCAGTTACTCGAAGGGTTCAGAGGATCTCGTAGTCGAGAAGTCTCGACTAGGCTTTCTTACTTGTTCGACTTAACTGTATTAAAAAGTGATTCAATGAAACAAAATAAAAGTGTTGATGCGATCTTTTAAATTATATATTTGGCCACCTAAAATCCTTATCACTAACTTATTTCAATAAAAACAGTTGTTTTAGACCAAATAATATGTAACAGAAAAAAAAAAGAAAAACATTCCAAAAAAACTATCTATAAATATGTATTAATATTTAGTAGGACCGCCTTTTGCAGAAATTACTGCAAGCACTCGACGACGCATATTACGCACTAGAGTTTGGTGTGATTTTTGGTGATTTTAACCCACTCGGAGCTCATAACTGACTTTAGGGAATCTTTTGAGGATATTTTATATTTTCGGATCCTTTCATCTAGTAAATTGACGTCTGGAGACTGTGGCGGAGTATGTAACTGCTTTGTGTTAAATAAAAGCCACTCCCTCATAAGAGGGTCATTATCTTCTTGAAAATAATAATCTCCGTCATCTAACTGGAGCTGAGTCGCGCTCTCCTTAAGATTATTTTTCAATACTCCCAAATAGTAATGTTCATCCATTTTGGTATCTATAAATACCAGTTTTCCAACTGCAGATGTGGACATACACCCCCAGACCATCGCGTTCCCGCCTCCATGCTTCACTGTTGCAGTTAAATTTTTTTTAGCTGTAGAGCAGTATTGCGTTTTCTCCATACTTTTTGAGCCCCATCTGATCCAAAAATGTTAAATTTAGATTCGTCACTCCAAGTTACTCACTCCCAAAAGTTTGGCTTCTTTAGGTGCTTCTGAGCAAATTCTAGGCGTTTTAGAAATATATCCTTCTGTATATTTGGCGCAGATGTTTTTGGATGTTATTAGGGATGTTATTAGGGCAGGATTTGGCGTTTATCTCTGACACTCAACTTGAAGTGTTGCCGTTTTTCCGTAGTGTACCTAAACTTTTTGGGCTGCGGTGCAGTGTGGGCAATATAATACGAATTTATTTGTTGAATAATTTAATTTCAAGACATACGATCGTGTAGAAGATATAATTAAATAACTAGCTTTCAAAAGGTAAAACCCCTAATAAAATATAGGGAGTAGCTATCGATTTTTAGTGATAAACTCGATATGCGAGTGATATACACGGAACCAGGAAAAAAACTTCAAGTCTCTAGCTTCTGAGATCGACGCGTGCATACATACGGACGAACGGGCGGACAGGACCAACTCGATTCAGCTCGTCGCCCTGATCAAGAATATATGTTCTTAGTGGGTTCCGCCACGCCTCGTTCTGCCTGTTACATACTTTTAACAAAATTATTATACCCTGATTTTCCATTTTCATGTGAAGCTAACAATTATGGGATATCACTTGTAGAAGCATTTGTATGCCTGTGTATGCCTTTACACCTGCGTGTGTGTATATGCATTGACGTGTGCCTACCACAACTTAGAATTGTGAGAATGTTGGAAGCATACTTATCGTTCAACTTAAAAGTAGTATTCGTCGATCATCACAACCGGTCGCTCACTTATATTCCATCTTCTTGCATAGCATTAACAGGTAGCTATTGCGTTTCTGTATTGATATATGGTTTTAAAATTTTTACTTTAATTATAGTTGACTAATTTTACTTTCAGAATACCACATTGCGCATTGATACTCAAATAAACTTAAGATCCATTTCTTTGCTGAGTTAAAAATATTTAATGGGTGTTATGTAAAAACAAATAGATGACAAATACATTACACATTTTTAAATATTGCTAGACAACCAACCAATTGTAATTGTCGTTATTTAGCGTTATTAAACCAATAAAATAATAATTCTAATTGAAAGAAATATATATTGTATTAACAATTCTGATGAAACGTAAAAAGTTACTGTTGTCAAATACATACATAAATAAATAAATTATAACATAATTTAAAAACTGGTTGCAGACACTTCAAACTTCTGTTATTGCATCTCTGGATTTTTTTTGTAATCTTCGTTTTAATATTATTTTCCGCACGAAAAACATTTAAATCACTCTCCCACGAGGAATCAAGTGCTGGCTCCTAATATTTCTCTGCCAGGGTCTGTAAAAGTTTTCCTTCAGATGGTTGGGGAATCTTTTCACTATCCTTCTCGTTTTTCTCGCGTTTAGTAAAATCGCTTTCTACTTCATTTACTAAATTTAAATAAATTGAAATATATATAATAAAAATAAATAATTTGTATACATGTAATAAATTATAAATTTCTCAGATTTGTATCCTTTACCTCTTGGTTGTTCAATAATTTTTTGCATCATTTCAGGAATCGACGTACTAATATTATTCTGATATTCCTGCGGGTCGACGTTGATTTCTATTGGCGTTGAGGGAGGCGTGGAACAACACTTATCTAAAATATCATAAATATAATTTTAAATATTTTAATTTTTTTTGTTGCCTTACCATTATTAGATTGTTCGTTGCTTTGACACAATTCCTCTTCGTTACTTTGCTGCTCAATGTTCAATGTTTCATTAAGACCATCAGCTAGATTTTCCATTAAAGTGTGGTCATGCTGCATTCTCGCCGTAGCTAAGCCACGCTCCAGTTGATCTGTGACAAGCTCTAGGTTAAAGATGCACTTTTCAACAATGTCTTCTCGTCCGATTTTATTTAAAGCCTGCGACATAGCATTACCAGTAGCGTGATTGTCCTCTTGCTTTAGCCATAGACGCAGCATGACCAAGCCCTGTTGTGCAACAGGTTGATCAGCGTACTCAGTCTTAACTAGGTTGATGTCTGCCTCGGGTACATCCAACTCTTCAGCAAGGCGCGGCCAATCACTACCAAGCAGATTCGAAATATCTGATAAACGGATATCGGCACGCTGTATTTCATCTTTTATAGAAAAACTAATCGGATTTTTATTTGAATTCTCTATTGATTCTCTATTAGATTTTATTTCGGTATTGATTAAATCTTTGTAGTTAAGGTCATGATCCATATTATTATTTCCATGAGTATTGATGCCATTCTGATCTAGTTTATCTCGATTTAATTTTTGCGATTCAAGTGATACATTCAGTGAACAAATTGGCCGCAATGGCATCTCACCTGACGTTACTTTCGGCTCGCTCATAAAGGAAATACGTGCGTTTGGTTGTTCTTGATCCTTAATATATACTATGAAAGATAGGCGGTTTTCACGAAACGCTTGAAACTTTGTTTTCAATTGTTCGCCCGATTTTAAAACCGGCACCAGATTTCCCACAAATTCGACGTAAATATTTTGATCTTGCAATACCTCAACATCACGACTCTTTGCTACTTCAGTAAAATACTCTTGCTGTTCGAGCGTCTTATCCTCTTTATCATCGGTCATACAAAAGACAGATAATTTTGCTTCCGTTGCGGATATTTTTTTAGCAAATACCACAAATTTTACCATAAACGGTACCTGTGCCATATACGTATAAAGTTCAGTTGCCATGCGACCAGCGTCCGCAATATTGCGACAATCCATTAGCCAAAAACGTGCAGATACCGTTGTTGTAAAGCTAACGCTATCCTTTACAAATGCCAAAGGCGTCGAACCAGTGACATCCTCCCATACAGCACGACTTTGTCCACCTGTTATAGAGCACAACAGTCGCAGAGTAGGGGCATTTACGTTTCCATTCGTGGCGTTATATGGTGTATTGACCATGCCTTGATTGCAAGTTGTTGGCGCCGGAATGCTTAATGTGATGGCCTTGTGAAATTTTCGCCGTCGTGGCTCGACGGTAACGACAGGAGACACTGCAACGCCCTGACCTAGTAGCTTGGAGCAACCAATCAAGTCTACTGGCTGTGCCTGTAGACCGACTCGAATCTTCTTCGTTAATGCATGAGGCGGAAATATGGACTGTACCTGAGGTACAGCTATAGATGATACAGTGCCACCATCTGGTCCAATTGCGTGAACCTCCTGTCGAACGCGAGATACCACCGCAAAAAAATGTGGCACATTTCGAGTGACGATTCTTATAATACGACTGGTGTGTAAATCTTCCAATGGATTTACATCAACTGCCATCGATTCTTTTAAGGCTTCGAGTAAATTACTTTCGTCTTCATAGACACTATGTTCGCGCCAGCTTTCACCATTGTCCGATCTCAAAATGATTATCTCACGCTCTTTGCCGCGCAGCGATCCAAAGTGCGGCACTTCCAATACAATCGGGCTTCAAAATTTAATATAATACATTATATTTTAAATACCAACTAAAACCTAATTTAAGTACCTTAAAAACTTTCCTTCTACTGGTGACATTTCCAATATGCGACTAACCAAGGCTTCACCCTCCATCAATGGCGGCGGATTGGCCACCCGCTGCGGCTTGACATAGCGGCAGGTAATACGCGTTGGCTCCGAACACGCCTTGGGTGGCACAATTATCCGAACTCCACTGTGCCGGCAACCGCGCATTGAACCCCCACGCGCATCTACCAAAAAGGACACAAGAAATCTGCAAAACATAAACAAAGCTCGAGCGTAGTGCGCAGTTTTCAACGTGTAAATAAACAAGTTGATGTAGAATACAAGTAAGAAGACTCTAGTCAAGTCTGCTCGACTAGGAGATGCCCTGAACGTATCATAATCTAATACTGTAAGAAACCCAGTTTTTCTCGATTTGCCACGCGCCTAGTGGGAGGATCGGGAAAATTCTAATAATATAAATCGGAGATATACACGAGCATGTGTTCCAAATTTCAAGTATCTAGCTTCAATAGCGCCGAAAGAAACTGCTTTCATACGGACAGACGGACGGACAGCAAGATGGACATTGCATAAAACCAATGTACTCATTTTACTTTCGTGAAGGAGTACAATTATAAATAAATTTGCCTGCTCTGAGTTAATTTTGGCTAAAGATTTATACCTTAAGCCAAAACCTTAACCTTTTTATTTTAAGATCTAAAAACTTCTAAGGCTAATGTCAGAGTGGCCGCCATAAGCGATGCAACAATGTGCTCTGAATGGTCTGATTTATATGTACTCGCTTACAATACTTAAGAGTGCAAGAGAAACGAGAAGATAGCAAAAGTAAAGCGAGTTGCAGGAAAGCGAATCTAAATCGTTTTTTTCGGCGCTATTGAAGCTAGACACTCGAAATTTGGAACACATGCTCGTGTATATCTCCGATTCATAAAATGTTAAAATTTTCTCAATCCGCCCACTACAAGCGTGGCAAATCGGAAAGTGAATTTTCCGATCGCCAGAAATCATATTAGTTTAAGAGAAAGCTCAAATTTGGAATGTGGTTCCGTGTCGACCACCCAAGATCCCGAGCTATGGCGGATATATCTACACCCATTAGGGGCATGCAAAATCGGATAAAACTGTATCTCCAAAAGTTTTACGGCTAGAACGCTGAAATTGTACGTAAGCCAATGCTATGATTCTAAAAGGATTAATGAAAAAACAAGTAAGCAAACTAGTCGAGAGCGCTCGACTAGATACTACTCTGAACCAAACTAATAAAAACGCACATTTAGTATGGTTAACATTTCAATTTCGATGTATTTAAAAATATAAAATAAAAAGTAATAGAAAACTAATTTAATGAAATATATATAAATTTTTAAACAATTAAAAAACAAGTAAGAAAGCTCTAGTCGAGACTGCTCGACTACGAGAT